TACTATTTTGCAAGGAGATTAGAATTAAGTTTAGGTTTATGGTCTTTTATGATGATGATGATATTTATTTAAGTTAAGGCTTTTGTACTTTTTTTGTTATAAAAATTTGAGGGACAGAGTTAGAAGCTTGATTCTAAATAGACGAACGGTTAGGATTTAATTGAATTTAGGGTTCCTAAAGAGCAAGGTTTTAGTTCATATATAAATAGGTAAGTTTTGGACAAGAAAGAAGAATAAGAGAAGAAGATTGAAATGTAGGCCTTGTGAAAAGATCCTTTTTTGGGGCAGATTTATCATTTATGTATATTTTTTTTTTGTAGTAGGTGTATTTTTTTTTTTGTAGTAGGTGTATTTCTTTCTCCATCTTCCGTACATCAATTGATAAATACAAGCATATATGTCATTAAATTTGTTGTATTAGAGAAATGGGGTACACTAAAATGGATATTAAAGGTGAAAACATCACTCTTCTTTGTTGTATTAGAGAAATGGGGTACACAAAAATGGATATTAAAGGTGAAAACATCACTCTTCTTGTAAAAGATGTGGAAAGCCATTCACCATGGAATTGGATGTTCAGTGAATTCAAGAGAAGCATTTTTAGTCTATTGATAAATAAATATGAAATTTAAAGAATTGGATGTTCAGTGAATTCAAGAGAAGCATTTTTAGTCTATTGATAAATAAATATGAAATTTAAAGAATTGGTGAACTGTAATTGAAAGCACCATTATTACTAACTACAATTAAAGAAATGGTTATCTTATTATTACCTCTTCCGCGTTCTCTACATAGATTGGATATATTTTGCTCTCTTCCAATGCTCTTTGGAGATGTATAATCTCCTCTTTTATCTCAATAACTATCTTCCTTGTGGCTTTAAACTTGCTTAACTCCTCTTCTAATTGTCCTTTCAAGTGGGTGATCTCCATATTTGACTCTAATTTTTTGCCATTTTCAATCTCTTTACTCATTTTTAGAGCTTCCATTTGTTGGGTCAGGTGTTGCTCCTCTAAGTTCCTTAGTTTCTTCATGATTCTCTTCTTTTCATATTTAGATTTCTTTAAACCAAGCTCAAGCTCCTTCTTTTCTTTCTCCAACCTGGCCTTTCTCATAGCCCACTCTTTGCTAGATGTGGCATGCAAACTTATTTCCCTCTCTTGTTCTCTAGAGCTTGTACTTGAGTTTTCCCCATTAGGTAGTCCCTCGGTCACACTCTCCCCAGAACTATTCCATGCAGGACTAACATTGCAAGGCCTTCTTTGCTCACCCCCTTTAATTTCCATGCTTCTAAAGCTAAAGGACGAAATAACATCAGGAGATTTGAGTTATCCTTGCGGATATGCAGATGACAAGAACATGATACACTTAAGATATAATTCCACATTGATAATAAAAACTGCGATAGGTGATTACCATAGTTATCAAAATCAGATTGGACCATCCAGTCCAACTATTTAAACCGTCGATTGGTGTCTTGGCGGGTCAGCTCTAAAGCAAAATCTTGGTTTGGTTGAAAACCAATAAAAGATCAATGTTTGACTATTTTTTATTGGTTGGACAGTCCCATTTTAACTAGTTCGACTAGTTAAACAGAGTTGGAAAACGTTTTTCTAATATTTTGCATATTTTTACAATAATTATTTTATATATGTATTTGTTAAAAATATGATCCAACTTGTTCGACATGTGATCAACCTGGTTTTAATTGGGCCAATTTATAATCGAAAAGTATTAGCATTTGTTTCTCAAAAAATAAAAATAAAAATATAAATCAAGGATGTGGTTTACCATATAAGGTAAACCGAATCTGCCATTCATTTCTAACAAATGGATGGCATACTTGGTCTCTTTAAATGTCACCATATCATAAAGCCTAAGCTAAACTTGATAACTATTGAAAAATTATAAAATGGGTTTCAAATGATAAACAAATTTCGAAAAATCGGAAATAGTTACGAACCTGAAATTGTCATTGTTTGATCCAGTGGATGGTTTGAGGCAGAAAAAAATCATCAGTTTATTTATGAGGAAGCCAACACATGTTGCCATTCTTTGCACCTGAAATCCAGCAACTGTCATGAAAGATAGATGGAATTGAACAAATTCTTCAAAGTAGGTTATAAGTAGGAGGGTTCCTCAATGTATGCTTTAATAGAGAAATTATTGATCCAAAGTTATGTCAAACTTGTATGATGGAGTATGAAATAAGGGTGGAAGAAAGAGAAAGAAACCTGAAACTTTTGTTTGACAAGAGAGAGAAAGAGATTCTCACTGTGTGAGCAAAGAGAAGAAGAGAGAGAATGGTGAGGCTGTAAGGAATAAGAGCCAAGGCCATGTATATATGCATACTCCTCTCTCTCTCTCATGGTCTTTTTAGAAAGGCCTCAGGCTCTCTCTTCAGTTTTAGAAAGTTAACAACATGGATGGTGACTGTTAAAAATCAAATTAGTAAAGGAAAGGGAACCAAGTCAAATGGAAAAATTAAGGTTTCAAGGATTAGAAAGATGTAGAAAATTGGTGGGGTATTTAGGAAGGTTAACTTGTGAGTAGGTGCGTTAATTATGAAGGCCATTATTAAACAAGGGGACTCACAAAAGAGTAATTTCCTCATTTTGGCATAATAAAGTTCGCCATGAGAGAGATGATGCAAATGTTTAAAAAAATGAGATTTTATATAAAGAAACTATTTATGTTTTGTATATGAAGTTCACCATCATTATTGTCCTTAAATTTCAAAGTTGGGTGGTTGTAAGATTGTCATTGAATGGATATAAAGTTTAAAAATAAATTTTTCGAACTTCATGATTTATCCCAAGTCATCCAATTTGACATCTAATGAGTGAGAATGATTATGATCTCCATGCACAATAGACAAACATTCTTTAAAAAATAGAGAGAAAAATACCAAAAAAAAAAAATGTTTTGATAGAGTTACAACCCTATCTAAATAAATAAAGCCTTACCTCAAAACTCATGAAAGATTGTAGTTTTAGTGTTGGAAAAACTCTACATCGAGCATAAGCAATGTACTCATATAATTGTACAAAAAGAAATCGTTTCGCTCACAAATAGATCACTGAAAGCCGGGTCTTAAATTGCTTGTTGCTCTTTTGCTAAGCAATCGAAAGAACAAACACTTATTTACTTGGAATAGAGAAAAAGAGTGACAAGCAAAGGTTTGTTAGCTATCGAGTAGAGAGTAAAGCACTTATTTCTTAGCACAAGAGAGGGAGCAAAGCACTTGTTTCTTAGCCCAAGAGAGTTAACAGATGTTTCGTGGTCCTTCATTCCATAACCATGTTGGTTGGTGATGAGAGAGGAGTAGAAAAAACTGCAGCCCAAACTGCATCCGTGCTGCAGTTTTTGTCGATCAACCCCAACAATTGCACTAGAACCTTCTGCGTTAAACCCGGTGGCCAAGAGGAAACGAATTAGAAAAAAGGGTATTCAAAATCCTATTTGATCCTCCTCTTTCATCTAGGCGACCAACGACGATGGTTGTCTATCACTAGATGGAAGAGGGAGAAGTCCAATCCACGAGGACCAGATAAGCTGATGCCTCCCAGCATTGGTGTACAAACAAAGAAATCCATAAAGTCGTCTATCCCATAGGACTTATCAATTTTCTCAAGCCCACCATGATTTTTAACAAATTGATCTGTTTGGCTGCATCAATCATCTCAACCTTGACCATTATGGTTGTGAAAAGAAAAAAAAAGATTTTAAGCCCTAAAAACAGTACATATTATGATATCTTATCTAGATTATCCATTTTCAACTTCTCACGGATCCGCAAGATCTTACCATTTTTGAGCTATAATTTTCATAATTAGTAGTGGAAATTAATTTTAGAGTCATAATAAAGATTTCTCATGCAAAAAATCTATGCAACAAGGTTTTGAGGTGAGGCTTTGCTTTTTTTTCTCATAAGGCCCAAGCCCTAAAGAAATTGCTTCTTTTAACAATTACCCTTATGAAACTATCCAAACTCAAGACCATGTATTATTTTATGGGTATTTTGAAATTAAATCAAAATATATGAGTAATGTATTACATTGTTCATGCCCTTATTGAGTGGGCCCCACTCCTCTCTATCACTCGTCATTGTTGCACTAGATTTAGATGACCCGGATGAATTATGATAACATAAAAAATCCATTAGCCTATAGCATACATTTATTTATTTATTTATTTTTATTTTTTTTGAAGGTTTAGCCTGTACCATTTTTTGCCATTCAAAGGGGGTATCCCACGCCAATACAAGCCCAATAGGTTTTGTATGAATAGGATATGATGAGGCACATTCTCCAATTTTAGCAGCATGAGTATTTTGGGACCTTCTAAAAGGCTCATCAACATGGAGGCACACATTTAAGCACACATCAAGATCAGAAACTTGTGAAGCTTTTAAAAACTACAAAGAACATAAGCTTGCACATATACACCATTATCAAATACATGCCTTAGGATCAAATGCCAATAAGTTATGAGACCAATAAAAAGAATCTCAAGCAATTGGACCACTTTGCATTAGGGATGGCAATGGGTTGGGCCGTCTCCAGCCCTAGCCTGGCCCTAGTCCCCTAAGGGTCGCCTTAGGCCCAGCCTGGCCTTGACTAGGCCAAAAAGGCCATGGCCCTAGTCGGGCCAAGCCATGCTAGGCAAAATAAAATCGAAAAGAAAAAACCAAATGAAGAAAACAAAGAAAAAGAGAGCTAGACATGGCTAAACCGGCCTGACCCTCGAGCCATAGCTCAAACCCTAGGTTTTTAGAGCCGGGCTGATTTGGGTGGCTAGCCGTGCAGTTCGAGCTGGGCTAGCTCACCCAACCCATTGCCACCATTATTCTTCATTTCCAATATGACAATCTTTAGTGGGTTTCTTCGTGACTAATTATATTTTGGGTTGCTTCTTGTTTTGGAGGAGTTTTTCATTAAAATTTTATTTGGGGGGTGCGAGTTTTGAGTCTTTTGACTAGCAATGAAAAAAAAAAAAAAAGGGGCTAATGGCAAATGGTGAAATGAAACTGAACACGATGAACTAGTACTTTACGGGCGTCACAGGAAGTGTATTCAGGAACTTAAAATTGGATCTTCGTTTTAGAACTTGGCCCCCGAACCCTAGTCCTTCTGCTTCTCTTCTCTTCTCTTCGTTCCTATCTTCCATCTTCAGCCGCTGAGCACCCCTCTCTTCGCAGCACGACCCCTCTATTATGTTCTTGGCGTTCAGCTGCTGAGCCACCCCTCTCTTCGCAGCACGTCAATATCTCAGGCAGACTCCTCTCTTCACACGCAGCCCTCGCTAGGGTTTACTCAGCTGTCCTTGAGTTCTGATCCTTGCTATTGATCTTGAGGTATGCTATTGACCCTTATTCTCTCTGTGTTATTGATCTTTGTGTTTGTTCTTGAGCTCTTGAAGCAAAGAGCTCTTATTCTCTCTGTGTTTGTTCTTGAGCTCTTGAAGCAAAGAGCTCTTATTCTCTATGTGTTATTGATCTTGAGGTATGCTGTTGACTCTGATTTTCTTCATCTTTCTCTCTCTATCTCTTCTTTGAGCTCTGATACTTCCTATTGAGCTCTGATCTGTGTTCTTCATCTTTCTCGAGGTATTTGCCCCTGACTACCCTAACCACAGCGAATAGTATTGATGCGTTTTATTTAATAAAATCAGAGCGAATAGCATGCCTTTTATTTCTGATTTTACAGATTTTTTGCAACAGCCCAATAGATCAGAGCTCAGTTACAAAAAAAAATTGAGCTCAGTTGCAAACTGATTATTCCAACGGTTTGTAATTAAATCTGAGTCCTTTGTGTGTTTATGTGGCGATTTTACATATTTTTCGCAACAGCCCAATAGATCAGAGCCCAGTTGCAAAAACAATAGAGCTCAGTTACAAATTGATTATTTAAACAGTTTGTAATAAATTCTGATTCCTTTTTTTTTTGTGTTTATTTGGCGATTTTACAGATTTTTCATAACAGCCCAATAGATCAGAGCTCAGTTACAAAAAAATTAGAGCTCAGTTACAAACTGATTATTCAAACAGTTTGTAATAAAATTTGAGTCATTTTTTTGTTGTGTTTATTTGATGATTATACAGATTTTTCGCAACAGCCCAATAGATCAGAGCTCAGTTACAAAAAAAATAGAGCTCAGTTACAAACTGATTATTCAAATAGTTTGTACTAAAATCTGAGTCCTTTTTTTTTTTTGTGTTTATTTGGCTCATTGGGTTACTCAGCGTAGACTTTGATTAGTTGATTAAGGTTTTCTGAGTTGCAAGGGGGTGAGTTCCTTCTCTTGAGCCCCATTTTCAAACATTGGGTAAAGCAAAGTGATTCGGTCTTGTGAAATTTGTTAATAGATTGCATCTTACTCGAGTTAGGCATTTCATGTTTTTCTTCTTGGCATATAATGTGGTAGAGAAAGTGGGACAAATCGAATTCAGATTTTAGGCAAGATCTGCTCGGGAACAAGGAGATCTACTCATAGATTTGTGGCAGAGCCAGCACGATCCAAAATACTAAAATACGATTTTTAAAGAAAATTAACGGATCAAAATAAATAAAATAAAATCAAAATAGTAAAAGAAGAAGAAAGAAAGAAAGAAGAAGAGACAATACCAAATCAGGCTGGATGGCCCGAGACTCCTGAGCCTTCTAGGGCTCGCTTGTACCAGCACCAGCATCATCTTTGCCTCTTTGATTTGGATGTTGACCAGCAAATCCCTGGTGTAGAAGGGTTGTTATGCCCTAGATATCTAGGCTTTTGGCTTAAGGTTAGGGTTTTAGGAGGCTAGAGTTTTTGAAGCTAACTCTTTCCTAGGGTTTTCAGCCTTTTTAGGAGAAGTATATCTATGGTTTCTATCTTCTCTAAGGGTTTCAATCTAGAGATGAGGGATCCCTTTGAATGGCCACGAAAAAGAGGCTTTATAGGGGTTGAATTCCGTTGGGAAGGATATACACATGTAACAAACACATGCTTATAAAAAAACATGAATTTTGAGGGTCATGGATCTGGGCGACACTGGTAGTTTCGCCCAAATCTAGGCAACATTGGGCGTGTCGCCCCAATCCAGGCTCAGCGACACGGCTAGTGTCGCCCAACACAAAATTGGTCCAAATTAAAAAATTATTTTTCAGGTGTGTTCCTCAACCTCTTGTGAAGCTCTCAGAGAAACTTTGGGTCAAAACGGATTTTTTTACTCTTTTTAATGGTTGTATTGGTAAAATAGGGCATTTACAGGAATCTGGGTCAAAACAGGGTTTCTATAGGGTTCCAGGTCGGCGAACTGGTTCTGGGACACAGGGTAGGCTGTGTGAACTATGGATTTTGGGTTTACTAGGATAACGTGGTCCTAATGGTTCAGAAACCATAGAATTTTCCATATTTAAAATGGTGTGTCTACAGTTGCCCCTCTTTGGCTCTCCCTGTCCTTCGAGGGACAGGTGAGTGGCAAAGAAGTAGACACTTTGGTGTTCCCTGTCCTTCGAGGGGCAGGTGAACATCAAAGATTTCTTCTTGAGTTCACATGGTCAAAGGGTACACCAACTATCCTTCCAAGTCATTGCGCTCACCAAGCTCATCCACTTAGGGCATTTTTTCTCCTAGGGTTTCGACGAGAGATGTCGGTGAGTTACACTAGCTTGAAACTTGAGTTGGATTTTCTGGCCATGCCACTTGACTTCAGCAGGTTTTGCAGTTTGAAATTTTTAACCCTGGCATCTTCTTTGAACTCCTTAAGGTCTCCTAAGGCTTTCTATAGGTTTAGGAAAAGAGAGGATTGAGTTAATTTGCAGCATGTGTATTAAAATTATAGCTTCCTGATATGATTGGTATGATTGCATCTTGCTGAGTTATTTTGAGTTCCTTCTTGGCATGATTGTATGTCGTTCGTGTTCACTTTCGTCCTTTTTTTTTCCCTTATTTATTCTTGTAAAGTGGCCAAATAAGGATTCTACTTACGGTGACTTTAGTTTGCATGTTTTGAATAAATAGATTGAATAGCCTGATATATTTTTAATTGGTTTCTACGAGGTTTGTGTTTCTTGGTTCTTGGTTGTTTGAGCCGTTTTGGTTATTTCAATTCCTTCTTATTTAATATTTTTGTTACTTATCTATGGTTATTTGATCTGGTTGGAGTTTATCATATTCCTTGCTTTTGCTTTTGCTTTTCAACTTCTGGAATTTGCTTTTTTGAGTCGTTCCAACAATGACTTCAGCAAAGTCTTTACAAAACAAAGAGATAAAAATACTGAAAAAGCAGCTAATGAATGCAACTTGTGGCAATTTTTTATGTTTTTTGAAAAACTACAAGAGTTTCTCAGTACATATGGTGTGGGAGTTTTTTTCATGAGTAGATAACTATAGGAATATTACTTTTTTGTTATTTTTTATGTTTGGGTTTGTTGAATTTTACTTAGCTCCAATTATGAATGCTGCAGCTACCATGCTCTTTTTGTTAGCTTTCTTTTTTTAATATATAATGCTTATGGGTTCATGAAATCTGATATATTTTTTCTAAGATATACAACTATGACGTGGGTTTGTTTATATCTTTTTATGCAAACAAGATGTGCATGAATTACCAACATTTTCATTTTCTTATTACTTTTGGTTATTTTTGTATTTGGGTTTTTGACTATTTTCTCTGTGATATAGTGCTTATGGGTTCATGAAATCTGATATTTTTTTTCTAAGATAAACAACTATCGTGGGTTTGTTTATATCTTTTATGCCAACAAGATGTGCGTGAATTACCAACATTTTCATTTTCTTATTACTTTTGGTTATTTTTTGTATTTGGGTTTTTGACTATTTTCTCTGTGATATAGTGCTAATCTTGCTTCCTACTTGTGAATAAAATGCTGAATTTTATTGGAATTGAGAATAATCTTGCTTACTTTTTTGTGATTTTTGTTTTTGGGTTTGTTGAGTTTTACTTAGCTTCATTTATGAATGCTGTAGGTAACATGCTCATTTTGTTACCTTTTTTTTTTTAACAATAATGCTCATGAGTTCATGAAATCTGATATATTTTTTCTAAGATATACAACTATGATGTGGGTTTGTTTATATCTTTTTATGCAAACAAGAAATGCATGAATTACCAACATTTTCATTTTCTTATTACAGCTATGATGTGGGCATTTTAAATTATGTATGTTTAAACTATTAAATGCTATGGTCGAATGGGCTGGTTTTTTACATGGTTATATAGGGATGCATGAATTGTGAATGTTGCTTGACATGCATCACAAATGTCTTAACTAGTGGTTTAAAAAACGGATCGGTGCCCCTGATCGGACACCTCAAAAACTCTTCCGGATCAGGAATCGTTCGAATCGATCGGATTAAGCCTTAAAAAAAAATCTAAAAAAATTATGAAAATTCATTATAAATGTTGTTTTTTAGGAATCCAATAAGAAATGGGGGTACTACATTATTAACTTTCATTGTTTTCATCACTATGCGAATATTGAGATGTTCTTTCCTTGTATGAACTTATGTTAACCATTAAATTTACATCATACAAAAGAAAAATCATAGAATTATCATGGACGAAGTGTATAATCATACATAGATTACAATAAAGAATGGATTAAATCGATGAAAAAATGGCCACCAAAATCTCGAATTGGCGGAAAACCCTAATCCTCTATAAAAAACCCAAATTATTACAACCTAACTAATTATAATCCAAAATTATTACAACATAACTAGCTATAATATTATATACTGAAATTGAAATTGTTAGTTTACATTTTATAGCTATTTTATTATACAAATAATAACAAATTCAAAATATCTTATAAGAGCATCTAATTTAAAATGTATTATTGATAATTGTAAGAAAAAATAGCACATCACATAATTTATAATGTACATAAATTAAAATAAATAAAATAAAAGATTTGGTTATCAATGTAGAAATAAATTCTAAAGTGGTAGGAGTTAGTGTTATTTTTCTCTCTTAAAATATCCTCTAAACTAATATTTTTTAATATTCGATAAACTAGAATTAGTATTATTTTTTGTTTTTTAATATCCTATGAGCTAGTACTACTTTTAATCTCAATTAACTACTTAATTAATTATTAATCATATAATGAAACAATCCCGTGAGATAATAGCCTAATAGAGTTTTTATGTTTTATTTGGGTAGGTAAATTTAAATTTTTTAGGTGAAAGATAGGGGTGGTGAGCACCCAATTATTATTTTTAATAATTTTTTCCTTTTCTTATCATATAATTTAATTACTACCTTCGGACGCACACCATTGGGCGTGCACCGTCGGACACACCATTGGCTTTTTATGTTTAAAGTTCAAACGTTATTAAAACTTCTTCACGTATTACGGAGTTAGTAAAAAGCAAAGGTGTATGTATAAGAATTGTCCCACATCGAAGAGATGTGGGATGAAGAAGCCCTATAAAACAAGCAACCCAATTGTTTGTGTTAGCTGATTATGTGAAGAGGGCCACGTGAGGTGTTAATAATGTTTGAACTTTAAATCCCTATCTTTCACCGAAAAAATTTAAATTTACCTACCTAAATAAAACATAAAAACTCTATTAAGCTATTATCTCACGGGATTGTTTCATTATATGATTAATAATTAATTAAGTAATTAATTGAGATTAAAAATTAGTACTAGCTCATAGGATATTAAAAAACAAAAAATAATACTAATTCTAGTTTATTAAATATTAAAAAATATTAGTTTAGAGGATATTTTAAGAGGGAAAAATAAGACTAACTCGTACCACTTTATAATTTATTTCTACATTGATAACCAAATCTTTTATTTTATTTATTTTAATTTATTTGCATTATAAATTATGTGATGTAATATTTTTTCTTACAGTTGTCAATAATACATTTTAAATTACATGATATTATAAGATATTGTGGATTTGTTATTATTTGTATAATAAAATAACTATAAAATGTAAACCAACAATTTCAATTTCAGTATATAATATTATAATTAGTTATGTTGTAATAATTTTAGATTATAATTAGTAGGTTGTAATAATTTGGGTTTTTTTTAGCATATTAGGGTTTTTCGTCAATTCGAGATTTTGGTGGCCATTTTTTCATCTATTTAGTCCATTCTTTGTCCATGTATGATTATATACTTAGTCCATGATAATTCTATGATTTTTCTTTTGTGTGATGTAAATTTATTGATTAACATAAGTTTATACATCCCAATGTTTTTCATCTTCTTCATGCATCTCGCTATCTCCTTCTTGCACCATTCCCACTCAAAACACAAAACAAAAAAACTTGAATTGCATAGGTGATCGAGCCGATGAGGTTACCGGTCTGGTTGGACCAGCTGAACTATACTAACTCTTTGATCTGATCTGTCTAAGAAATTAAATAATTAATGAAAATAGTAAAATAACCCCAGACATGTCTAAAAAAATAAATATTTAATAAAAAATAAAATAAGGACAAAATTATAAAAATAAAGAAAATCAGGGAAAAATAGGAGAAATCTAAAATATAAGAAAATTAAAAAATAGTTGGGAATATTTCATCCCCAAATCACAGCCAAACCCCCTTCCTCAATTCTATCCAATAAACAATCAATCGTCCAAAATTTCCCTTCACTGTAAGTATTCACCCTCTCTCTACAAAACACATGACCATTTCCTATCTTCTTTCTCTCTCTAAGATCTATCCACTTTTTTATGGTTTTTTAGGAGTTTTCGTTCAAAGTTCAAATAATTCTATTTACTAATTTTTATATGCAAAAGGAAGTTTAGAAATTTATTAAATTCCAGTCCATAATTTTTTTTGAATTCGTTCTTTGATGAGTTAAAACTTAAATAGTTAAAAGCACTTTTCGGAGAAGATAGGAAAATGACAAAAAAAAAGATAAAAAAAAAGAGAACGAGAAATAGAAAATGGAAAAGAAAAAAAATGCACATCCTTCATAGAGTCTTGCTGAAATATCGCGGGAAAGCTAAACACAATTTTTCCCTTAACCTAATAATGTAAAAAATAAAACACATGATTTTTTTCGTTTATTTTTTGTATTTTTTAAAGTAAATAATACAACAAAAAAAAAAAACTCATCTGGTGCAAGCTCTTCTTCAGAGTCTGGCAGGAACGTTATCGGAATATCGCTGGAAAACTTGCCTTGAGAACTTTTGTGGAGGCTCTAGAGGGAAAAATTATCGAACTCCTTTCTCTCTCATAAATCTCTTTTCAATAAAAAGCCTTAGTGTAATGTTTCTATTTTACCCTGTATAAATTCAATAAGGCTAAAACGTCCCATGCAACCCTTTAAAAAAACAATTAAAAAATGTAAGGGCAAAAAACATCTAAAACAAAAATATTTATAAGGGAAGTGAAATATAAATAAAAAATATTTTGGAACATAGAGTCACCTCTCTAAACCTCGACAAAAACGCAAGTCGAGCAAACCCTTTTAAACCACTCTATCTTCCTTCTCTTTACTTTTGACAACTATTATCGACAAAAACAAGTATAGACACGAAAGCAACAAGAAACTGACTTTCTCTCTAACTAAAATGGAAACAACCCAAAATCTCCATGGGAAACGCTTCCTTACGGGCGTGTTTGATAAGTGGAAGTTTCGAAAGTGGGGGTTAAATGTACCACTTCCATATTTGATATTACTGTGTGGAAGCTGTAAAGTGGAAGGACCACTTTCCATGCAGCTTTTTTTTAGTGTTAAAATGGGTTCATTTTTGGAAGACCTCTCTTCCATCAAAAGTGATGGAAGATAATTTGTGGAAGAGTCCCTTTTTTTCCCAAAAACTCCATGTGTCAAACACACCCTACAAGAAACCAACCTCTCACTTACAGGAGTCTTCAGGAGGCATCATCAATGTGTCTTTTCATAGGAATCTCTCTTCTCTCTAAGAGGAAATTGCATCTTATGCATAGGAGACTCTATCTCCCTCTCTCTCTGAAGGAACCACGATTTCCATATGGTGATCCAAATAGAGCACACAAATTCTCTGTACTTTCATCCCATATATATAAGATTAGGAGTCCATAGTAAATAGGAAACTTCATATTGATGCTACATATATCTCAAAACCACGAGATAAATCCAAGAGTCCTAATCTTTTTTTATTTCTATTTCATTTCCCTTATAAATATTTTTGTTTTAAATGTTTTTTGCTTTTTACTTTTTTTAATTGTTTTTTTTAAGGGTTGCATGGGACGTTTTAGTCTTATTGAATTGATGTAGGGTAAAATAAAAATATTACACTAGGGCTTTTTATTGAAAAGAGATTTAGGAGAGAGAAAGGAGTTCGATCTTTTTTCTCTCTAGAGCCTCCGCAGAAGTTCTCAAGGCGAGTTTTTCGGCGATATTCCTGTAACGTTCTAGCCAGACTTTGGAGAAGAGCTTGCATTAGGTGAGTTTTTTTTTTTTTGCAATATTATTTACTTAAGTAAATACAAAAAATAAACGAAAAAAATCATGTGCCTTATTTTTTACATTGTTGGGTTCAGAGAAAAATTGTGTTTAGCTTTCCCGCGATATTTCAGCGAGACTTTGTGAAGGATGTGCATTTTTTATTTTTTTTCCCATTTTCTATTTCTTGTTCTCTTTTTATTTTTCAATTTTTTTTTTCATTTTCCTATCTTCTTTGGAAAGTGCTTTTAACTATTTAAGTTTTACTCATCAAAGAATGAATTAAAAAAAAAAAAAAGATTGCAATTTAATAAATTTCTAAACTTGCTTTTGCATATAAAAATCGATAAATAGAATTATTTGAACTTTGAATGAAAACTCCTGCAAAACCATAAAAAAGTGGATAGATCTTAGAGAGAGAAAGAAGATAGGAAATGATCATGTGTTTTGTAGAGAGAGGGTGAATACTTACAGTGAAGGGAAATTTTGGGCGATTGATTTGTTTATTGGATAGAATTGAGGAAGAGGGGTTTGTCTGTAATTTTGGGGATGAAATGTTCCTAATTGTTTTTGAATTTTCTTATATTTTAGATTTCTCTTATTTTTCCCTGATTTTCTTTATTGTTATAATTATGTCCTTATTTTATTTTTTTACTAAATATTTATTTTTTTAGACATGTCTGGGGTATTTTACTATTTTCATTAATTATTTAATTTCTTAGACCTGTTTGATCAAATAATTGGTATGGTTCAGCTGGTCCAACTAGACCGGTACCCTCACCGGCTCGGTCACCCATGCGGTGCAATTTTTTGTTTTGTGTTTTGAGTGTGCTTTGAGTGGGAATGGTGCTGGAAGGAGCCAGTGAGATGCATGAAGAAGATGAGAAACATTGAGATTTAAAGGAAATGATAAGGAAATAAATCAAGTTGAGATTATTTTACTTTTAATTTAATTTTTAAGGAAGGCGGAATTAATGGGAAATTTGCTGCATTGTTGTATTGGGGAAGAAAAACACGTTCCTTATTCAAATTTTAAGGAAGATGATTATAATTTTAAGGAGATGGTTATTTAAATTTTAAGGAGAAATTAATGGGATCTGAAGTAGTGGCAAAGAAGAACACGTTGACAATGCCAACCTTTGCATCCCTGGATCCAAAAGTACTGATTGTTTACCCAGGGTATCCCACATTGACATTGCTGTTGAGCACCACGTACTGCACAGAGCATGTGGTGCTTTATATAAATACGAGTGGGAATCTTATTAACTGCTTTCAATTTCTTCTTCACTTTGAACTGCGAATTTAGACCAGTATTTGTTTCAACCTCAAGCTCTTCATTTATTTGATGGGTGTTGTTTGGTTTCAGAGTGGGCTGCCAATGTTGTGAGAGAAAGAAGGGGAAGGGTGGTTTGAATTGATTAAAGGAAAGTAGGTTTTAAAGAGGAGAGAGAAAATGCCTCTTTATGATTGTATGCTTCTGCTAAAGCCCCACATAGAGAAGGTGGCTCTTATGGACCTGGTGGCTCAAGTTGGAAAACTTGTCTATAGAAGAAATGGAGTTGTTAGTGATATTAAGTCTTTTGGGAGTATACATTTGGGCTATGGTATCAAGAAACTTGATGGAAGATATTACAAGGTTTGCTTTACTGCTAAATTTCTTTTGCTTCAGTTTTACCTATGTAATTCTACTGTTAGAGTTCTCTCTTACTTCATGTTTACCCATGTCCTGACTTCCTTCTCTTCAATTTTACCCATACATTGGAAGCTGGGTTTTTTTGTTGGCCTAGAATTGGTTCAGCAGTCTAATGTTTCTTTTGGTTTTTTGCAATGATGTGGAGTTGTTATCTTGTTTCATTTTTTTATATGATTAAAGATTTTGGTTTTGGTTTTTGTGTTTTGGGGTTGTGGTATATTGAATTTTTCTTAGTTTTACGCCATGTTTTCGAGAATGCATTCACTGTTTTGGGTCTGGGTGCTCGCCTAGGCGACCCAGAGCCCAAACCGCCTAGGCGGCCCGCCTACGCCTTTTTGAACATTGTTTTGTGGAAACACTCAATATTGATGACCGATCTGATTAGACTAGAGTCCATGTCCACTGCAGGACAGTGATATCCAAATCTCTTATTTGTTTGAGGCAATACCATGTGAAATAATGAAGCAATTTAAATAGAGATATTAGTGTTGCTTAAAATACAGAAAATTATTAGGCAGCTATAGTTTTTTCTCTTTCCATCGTAACTTTTATTCTTGGTGTTATGATTTTTTCTGTTGATGCTTTTTTGTGCTCTGAAATGCTATAAGGAATTGAAGGGCTGTTTGTGCTTAAACTTGGAGATGGTTGTGTATCTTTGCTTTCTTTTGATGTACGGTTTTTTGGTGTCTATGCAATGTCAAATATTTGCAAAGATTTTAATGGTGAAACAAATTTTACTTGCTAGCTTAACCATAGTAACATAAGGCGTTTGTGGTCCTCTAAGTAAAGCATCAGGTAAACTAGCAAGTTACTTGCTAGTTTAACTCATGCTGACCACCTAAGTACTTATTGTAAAATTTAAATATATTTGAGCGGCCATAATATATAGAAGGTGTAGTTGTCGAAACTTGATACCTTCATTCGTCCTAGAAGAGCTCCTTCTATTTTAATAAGGCTTCTATAGCTTGGAAAGGCATATTTTCTTATGCATGTATTAATTAATCGTGTAAAGTACCTTTTCTCAAGCTGCTATATGGGTCAAAGATTGGTAAAATCATGGATTATGCCTTTGAATACTGTCGTGATAAAATGCTCAAAAAATTGCTATACTCTTGACAATCTCCAAAGCAGCCAAGCTTGCTTCGTACCTCTTACGAGGTCCATATGAATTAATCTTAATCTTTTTGCATTCACTTACTTGTCGTGGGGATTTTGCTTTATGGTGACGGCAGGGACACCTTTATCTGACAGTACCACAAGATTGCTTGCCTGTGGTATTTAGGTTTGCATGGTATGTGTGAACTTGGAATTTAGGTTTGCATGATATATGTGAACTTAGGTTCTGTACTAAACAAGACACACATATTGAATAGAACACATGTGAGGAGTACATTTGTGTGAGGTTCTACTTATCAAAGTTCAAAGGTATCATGCCCACTGGAAATGGTGACTGATGCAGTTAATCTCATATCCCTCGCAAGATGAATTTCACTATAAACCTGACCCTGTAAGTGGCCATGTGGGGTAAACTTGGGTAAGTTCCTCTCAGTAGTTGACTGCTTTCCTAAAAATATTCTGTAATAACTGACATTTGACAAAATGGGTGCTGATTGAGATAGAAAACAACAGAGAACAATGGTTACTATTTTAAGGGAGAAAGGTCAAGGGATTCACCAAATTATTTGATATTATCAATATTTTTAAAAAGAAAAACAATCAATATAATTAGCAATGTTCGAAAACTCCGCCGCCCAGCCACCTAGGCGGTCGCCTATTTGGATGAGCGGTCAAAACGCCTAGCGGCCGCCTAGGCGGTTTAGTCCTGGGAGCCTCCTTGATGCAATGTGCCGAGGGCAGAAAAATGGCGTCGGCCAAGGTTAATTTTGTAACCCCCACCCCCACCCCCCAAAAAAAGGGGGAAAAGGGTTTTGGGGGGTATTCTAAACCCTCACAACCTAATTTGTGGCTCCTATAGAGATCAAAAGTTCCTAATAACCTCGAATCTGTAATTTATCAAAATATCGATTTTATTTTTTCGATTTCTTCCCAAAACAAAGGAAATAGTTTGTGGGTGTTTTTGGAGCTTCTAGAAATTGATTTTGAGGACTTTTGGGGACCCAATAGACGAGGTTTTGGCCGACATCATTTTGAGTTTGATATTTTAAACATTATCATATTTGAATAAGGGTTTTGATTTGTTTTTGTTATAACATATTATGTTGTGATTCATTTGTTTTTTCCTTTTACTTTTTTTTTTTCTTTTATCATATATTCACCTTTTCGTAGTTGAAAAATTGAATTTTTGTTTGTGATTAATTGAATTTTTTCTCATTTGGACGATGAAATTGGGTGTATGTTGAGGAGGGCGATGACTTTGATGATGATGGCATGACGTCATCATCATCAGATGCTCCTTTGGATGCACTTGAACACCCCGCAAGGTGATGCCAAAGAGTTGTTTGGTTGACATTAGAGAATTGGGGTGGTGACATATAACATGTATTTGATTATTTTTTTTTGCCTTGTTGACTATGTGTATTATTTATAGACCTTTAGTTTTGGAAAAAAATTATAGAGCCGTGGCTCTAAACAATCAAATTAGAGCCCACCTCAAAAATTTCACCAGAAAAGGTTGTTTTGATGCCCAAATATCCTCAAATTGATCATCTGGACATCAAGATGCATGTTCATGAGAAAAAAATGGATTTTAAGTTTTGGAAATAGTACTTCTTGTAACGCATTTTTGGATCGTCAATTTTTAAGATTTTCAAGTTTTTATAGATCTGCTCGATCTACATTATTTTTGAAGTTTTAAATTTTATAATTAAAGATGAAAATATATTTTAAGGCTATCACAAAGATTTTCAATATTGAAACCACATTTCTCGACACTATTTGAAGGTGCGATTTACTTTGATTGTTTAGAGCCTCGGCTCTATACAAACAGTACCTTTTAGTGTTTTTACAATGACATTTGGGATTTCATGCATTTTAATGTCTTACAATCTCTTTGAGTTTGTGTATCCGTAAATCTGTTCAGTGACTGTAATATTACGTTTCTCGTTTTCACAAAAGGGTTTTGGGGCTCTAAAATTGCCCTAAAACCTCCCCAAGACCTAAAACCCAACCCTAAGAACTCCTTTGTCCTTTTTTGGTTCGGGGGAGGGGAGGTTTTGGTTGGGGGTGGTTACCTTGTTACTCCCGCCTGTGTTTTTCTGAACATTGATAATTGGTATTGTTAATGGTCAATTTGGGGGAAAAAAATACAGTAATGTTTAACATTAAAAAAAAAAAAAACAACTCAAAAGGCAGTCATGATGTTATTTAACTTTAACTTGACTGCATACATGGTTTAGGTATGATGTGATTATCATGTCAAAAAGAAAAAGAAAAAGAGATCAGTCTGCCAACTGAGAATTGAGCGAAACATTAGATACTCTTCCATGTCTTGGACAGCTCCCAATTTTCTGTGACTCACTAGATATTGTATAATACAAGCAGTCATAGAGAAGTGAACAACATAGCAGTGAAATCGTCCTGATAGCTTATGGACCAATTAGGAACATGAACCACATTGTACATGCATGCCTTTCAAGAAGTCTATAGGAACTTTATGGGGCTTCTTCTAGTGTGGTTCAGTATGTTACCATCTGTAGTGGTTATGGGATGGACATCATTCATCACATTCTCATGCTAAAAGGAAAAATTTCATATATTGTGACTGGTATCCTCAGAATAACCTAGTGGTATTAGATGTGCAAATACCTACATTGCCAGGAGCTTGAAACAGAGAGTACCTGAAGTTAGGGTTCTATGCTCATGGAGTTTTTCATTAGCTTCTGAAACATGTGCTTGTTTAATTGCTCTTTATTAGTCTGATGATCAGCGTATTCGGTAGTTCAAAGATCATCATACAGTTTATACTTTACCATTATCTGAACAAACAATGTAGTTTAGAACAACTACCAATAAACCCTTTGAGCCTGTCCTCTTTTAGATTTGGTCGATGTTGACCTTATCCTATCATATGTTCATGCATTTTATATCGAAAGTGTTAAATTTTGGACTTGCCTTTTTCACGGCCTTGCCCTGTTTATAGGCTTAATCTGCATAACATCAAATGTTGTATGTATCTCTCATGTGACACTTAATGATGAAAACGGAAAACCTGGTCTCGTCTACTAATAGTTGCACATGAACATCCTCAACAAAACGCAGTGGCAGATACATGATAAATGACAATAATGGGAATTTTCTTGAGGCAGACTCACAAGTATGACCACAATCAGAGCGAATTTTCATATGCATTCTCATCAAGCCAAGAAAAAAAAATCATTTGCATCCTAAACAAAACATTGGGAATTATCAACATTTTCTTGACCCAAGTTTAGGACATTGAGGAATAATACTTATGAATAGACAAATCACCTTAGTTAAGAGCAAGACTTAAAAAAACAGATCGGTGACTCGGATCAGCCACTCCATAAACTGTTAGATTGGTGGATTGGCTATCTGGGCCGGAGAGTCGATCGGATCGACTGGTTTCGGCCTCAACTAATTTCAAAAAATCACTATAATTTATCAAAAATCTAGTTTTTTAGGTTTCCAAAAAAAAATAGTGCCAATTGCAAATAGTTTTTTTATTATTCTATCAAGTTTCATTATTTGGATGTCGTTTTATCTCACACCACACTCGTTCATTGCTTGATTTTGAATCGTTCTTTTGGGTATATAGGTCAAGTGAAAGTATACCACACACCTTATGGCAGTGCATCCACTCTTCATTTTTAGAACAAGTGTCTATGAATTGACTAAATATTTAATGGTCAAGCATAAGAGCAGGTCCATGTATAGGAATACAAATAACTCCACATTGGCTTTTTACTCTATCGTGTCCATGGAGAAGACAAACATTTTAACTAGCACGCACTTTGGGGCTGTGA